TGTTTATGGCACATAATTAATCACATAACATTATAGAGATAAAATAAGTTTAATTTAAATTCACTTAGTTTTTGCTGACAGAACCCTACTTCAAATGCTGTCTTGTTATTTTATGGTGCTTTGATGAGAATGAAGTATTCTGTACTTCCACTGCGAAAAAAAAAAATCTCTACACTTCTAGGTCAAGAGTATTATGTTGTTTCTTAATTTAATCTGCCATATACTGTTTAAGAATTTGTCCCTTTGTTTAATTTTGTTTTCAGTTTTAACTTTTTTATTCTCTTTTATTTGTTTTCTATCTTATGTAAGTTTTCATTTATCTGGTGATGGATTTGAATTCATTTATTTGAGCTTAAACGGTCAAACCAGCATCATTTGAGAGAAGATGAAATAAAATGCAGCATAAGTTAACAACATATACAGTGTGACTTATTTCTTTTTTTTTCTTTAAAGGCTGAAATGAACAACATTAACTCTGACATCAGCAGAATTCAATTAAATTCAACAATACTTAATCCCAAAGTGATGCTAGGATAATTATCATTAACACGTTGTTATTGGCTGCATGTTGCGTCTCAGAACTGATGTTTCCAGAGTAGTTATTCTAATTAAGACAGTTCCTCTGTTTGGATATACAGTTATAATCTTAATTCTGTACATGGCAAAGATTTGGAAATGAAATGAGAGCGGTGTCCTTCAGCTAATAACGAAGTGTAATATTTTGATAAGGCTGGAGCCATGGATGTCTACTCAGCCGCTAACATGTATGATGTAATGATGTGATGATGAGACAGACTAGAGATGTATAAAATGCCTTTTAACTTCCTAAGAGGTGAGCCCGGAGGTGAGCAGCTGCCATTCTGTAAACTCTAAGCAATTTCTCTGATCTGAATAAGATTACAATTTCTATCAGAAGCTGTTGTCATGTCTCCTGGTTATTTAATACATACAAGTTATGAAGTGTTATTTAAAGAGTTTGTCCCAAGTGATCTTTTTTCAGGGAAAAGAACCGGAGGGATAGAGCATCAAGGTGCATACACAGAGCCTGTCTTTAATTGTGAAATCAAATGTCACAGTATCTTCTATGGGTTCCCCCACCCCCTTATTTTTAACCATCTGTTTTAGCTTTTCATAACTGTGTGCCTGAAGTTTTTTTGCAAATGATCTGGAGAAGCCTCTTAATGAAGACAGTCTGTTGTTGAAAAATATTTTGGAGAGGATGCTCACTGTTATAAATAATGTTCATTGTAATATAATGGTGGTCTTGATGCTTTTAGCGTGATTGGAGATGACAACCATCCAAAGTTAGGTATAGGTGTTCCCACATCTGAATGGAGATAGAGGTGATAGTCTGTAACAGTTTCCACTTAGAGCAAAGGGCTTTGAAAAATGTCCAAAAAGAGGCATCCTGATTTGATGAATCACCTCAGCCACAGCTCTGTCACTCCCCTCCCCAATGACAGAGCTCCCGGTTTTATATCTGAATGCAATCACCTAAAAAACAAGTTTGTTAAAACATACTATATGTATAGTTTAGTGTCTGCTTCATTTGTCATGAATATGAATAAAGATAAAAGGTTCTAAAAATGTATCAATTCGGGCTGCATCTCACTGCTTTCTCCTCCAGTCCAGCAGTGGAGGATCCAGTCCAATCAGACAGATCTTCTTGGCTCTGTCTCCTACGATCGCTCCACATCTCTCTCTTTACCTCTAACTATTGTTGACTGCTTAGCCTGAGCTTTGATACCTCTGTTTTTTGTTATTTTTTTAACTTATCTATGTCTCAGCTGTAACACTGTTCTGGAGCGAAGGTCTGAGCTGCTGCTCATGTTCTCCTTCAATAGATGATCTATTTGTTCCTGTCTTTCTATGGCTTACTCTATTTCTCTTATAGACATAGGATGCTCTTTTATGTGCTTTCTTTTATCTTCTAAACTCAAGTGCTGACTTAGAGCTCATCTTTCTAGCTATTTCCCTCCTTTATTAAACCATTTCTGGAGCTACTACCTTTTACTACATAGACGGTACTCTTAGATCAGTGCTTCCACATTCCTTGTGTATATCTGTTGTTCTCAAACTCCCAGTTAGTTTTAGCTAGCTATGCACCAGTTTTCTTCCTGGTTAGAGTTTTTCCTCTCCACAGTCACTACATACATGGTTGGTATATGGGCTTGCTGTTAAGTCAATGATACCATTTAAGCTACTCTCCACTGTCACTATCACCATCTGTAGGATTTTACTGAATTGATTGTAAAGTGCCTTGAGATAACGTGATCATTTATGGTATTTTAATAAAATGACTTCACTTTGATTTTATTTCATTTTGCGTTTATGGAGGTATGGCTCCAAGGCACTGAGAATGCAAATCGACCATCCTGAGTTTCTTACATCATGCATCCTCTTTTCTATAACTACACTTTGCAATTTTTTTCATGAACAACAGAAACGGCATCCGAGCCGAGAGGAAACTTCACAAGATTTGGACAAATGTGTGAATTGTAAACATATTAAATGCCCCAAGGAAAACACTTTCATGTGCCCCTTAAAGCACTGTAAAGGTAAATAAACTTCCCTATGAGATTATTATCCTTTATTTGTTTTATTTGTCTTTTTACGTAATGCTTTGATGTTGTTGAATTTCTCCTGTCACAACTTTTCTTATAACGTATCAATCCAAGATGCAGGTACAGTATATGTGAAAGTCTGTCTTGCTTTTATGATTGTATTTGCATTTTTTCCCCAACCTATTCCATGTGTTTAGAAATTCTCATTATAAGGTTTTACTTTTTGTCTTGTCCAACTCTTATTGCTGATATCGTACTCAGTAGAAAGTAATTGGAAAAGTCACAGCAGTACCAGCTCAATGGCTGTACTGTTGTCCTGACGAATATCAGAGGTCGTATATTTAACTACTGCTGGAAGGCTATAATTACCTCAGAAATACGCAGAAAATCCAGATTAAGTGTACAGCACCGCTGTGAGGAAAACACTTAAGCGCAGCAGGGTTTTGACTTAAAAACTAATGTCAGCAGGCATCTCACAATTCTCCGAATGGCTTATATTCTTCTGTGCAGCAGGTAAGATGTCTTCTTAAGTGGATGTTAGTTTTTAAGGTTAAAGTCAAACTGGATTTATTTTGTCTAAATAACGCTAAAAAGCTTTAAAAAATGAAAGGAAAGTCGAGTTTATCAGCTCACAGTGACGGTAGCAGGCCTACACCATCAGAACCTTAGGGACAACCCAGTGGTGCTAACACCAACAGTCTGGATGAAATGAACAGCTTTCACTTTGTACCACGATTCTGCCCGGATTCAGAATATCAGCTCCTCCTTTCTATTTCCATAATCCCTCCAGCAGCCAATCTTAGAGACACACTCCCCAAGTCTGCTGATAATTTGCTTCTTGCTGCAGTTCATCAGCAGAAGTGCATAATTGCAAAAAAAAAAATGTCCAAAAGGGGAAAATAATTTCTCTATTGCTCTTTGGACATGTGATCGAGTGTGACTGTTGGTGAAACAGGGTGATGGATTTGCTTATTTTTGATGGGTTAATTAAAATGAGCTTGAGTTTTGGTCTTGGAAAATATCAGGTACACCTTTTTTGAAGCTGCTTTTTCCGTTTGTAAAAGATGCTGTAGGCATACAAAAACTAAACATTTTCCTCTTCATCAGCTCTCACGGTTTGCCAAAGTGTTATAACTGCAGTAGATGTGTCGCTGTATGTGTGTGTTGGAGAGTTGGATCATCCATCTTTATCACCCAGAGCCACCCAGGCCTGCCACTGTTAATAAGGGCAGCTCTCTCTTTCCTCCCTCTGTGGAACAGGCCTGGAGAAGTACAGAAGGTCACAAACTGATCAGATACACATTTAGAAATGTGATGGTAACAGATTCTGTGGTTTGATAGATATATTTATTTTCTTTACAAGTTGTATTAAAACATTCGTAGTCTGGGCATAGTCTTGGTTCCCTTGGATACACTGATTTCACTTAAACATGTTTCTAGACCAACACATGTCGTTTTTAAGAAGGTTTATTGAGCACAAAGTTGAATAAACACCAAAAAACAGAAGTGGATGCAGTGGCTGAGCTGGTGGGTGACTAGGTGTGGCCATAGCCCTTCCGAGCCTTTTATTAACACCCCCCCATCAGGTGATTAGTGGACTTAATACACCACCTGGGATCCAGAATTTCCTCTCTAAATCAGTGGGTGGAAGCAGTGATTCTCTTAAGTCCTAATCTGACATTTTACCTGTTAGTATATTAATTATAAACTGACAACAAAATACACTTAATTATTAATATCAATCAACTATTAGAAAAAAAATATTCTTGCTCTTTTTGGAATTGTTTTTCTGTATTATTGATAAGGGGAAACTTGTCTCTGCAGTCGCTTAGGAGTCTATTTTTATTAGAGTTATGGTACTGCTCATCTTATTTAATGTGTATATTTTGCAAAATGATAAATTACTAAATTAAGACGTGCAGCTGTATAAAAATGTAAGGAGATGTATATCTTAAGTGATTTTTTTATTTCTTTGTTTAGAAAATACAAATATTATGCTGGTTTAATTTGTGTTTTTACACTATATTGGTGTTGGTATCTACCACTGTTTGGCCACCCCTCAGTGGGCCATTAATTTCTGCCTAGCCATCCCTAAAAAAATGAGATCACGGGGTGTGTGCACCAACTTGCTCCTTCCACAATAGCCCGTATGAAAGTAATATGGAATCAAAGGTAACTGTGCATTGGAACTGGGAATCTGAAGTTGCAGAGAGATGTTTTGTGATTGTCGATTGTTTTTGTTGATATTTTGCTTCACAGTTCCCTAAAAAATTTACCTCTTTATATTTTTTTAGTACAAGTACACAAACACTGTACCTAGCACGTTTTAAAGTAGTTGTGCCTTA